AAAAAAAAAAAGGAGATCCTGATTTAAAACCAAAATCTTTATATCATTTTAAAATCTTCTTAATCACTAAATCAAAAAATAAAAGATAATATTAAGTTTTAATTGATATTATATTAAACCTTTTGTACCTCATCATTTGTAGACTTAACATATTTAGATACAATATGTCAATAAAATAACAATATCAAACTTGAATAAATTCACACTTTTTATTAATCTAATAATAATATTATTATTATTAAGTCTATATATGAATTTTTTTTAATAATTTGGAATAATTGATAAGGAATATTTTAGCCTTTTTTATATTGAAAATAAAATTGTCAATTTGCATAAAAAATAACTTTTTCAATTTATCTTTTAAGAATAATTTTCATTTTTACACTATCTTAGGTTCTAAGGAAGTAGAGTAATGATTTATCAAATTAAAAAGAAAATTGCAATTCTGATAGGCCAATACAATGTAAATGGGCCACTTATTAGGCCCAATACCTACACATTAGATGGAGACGCTGGATAAAGCAACTTAGATGTCTAAGATTTTAGACCCTAGAGCTCTACAATGTTAATTTTTGATGCCTACAACTGATAATTAGGCCCAACAAAAGTATACTTTTATATACACATATATATTTATTTATCAATAAATATTTGATTTAATCAGATAGATTTTTCTTCTTCGATAAAAAAATTTTGAGTTTAAATCTTGTCAATAGTTATTTATTAGGATAATCTCACATGTACGACTTATAATCATTCGTCTTAAGCTGTTAAATATAATATATCTTATCTTGACTTAAGAGACTGAACAATCTATTTATCCTTAAATTTTTTTTATAAAAAAATATATTTATTTAATTATTTACTTATTTATTTATTCTTCATTCCATGATTATATGTTTTATTGAAACTCGAAAGGTTTGATTTTTTAAAACAATTAGGGCTTGAAACAATAATTTATAATTTTACTACCAAATAAAGCTTAATTCACTTTGTATCCAACAATTTGATAAAATTTAAATATTTCCTCCTCTCATGAATAAATGTTATGGATCATGAAACTTCATCCAAAGGTTATAGATCATGAAATTATAATGAGTCAACTAAATGGTCCAAATCTCACTTGTATTAGAAAAGTTTTGCTTCATGCTATTATTATTATTATTATTATTATTATTATTATTATTATATTAAAAATAAATAAATAAAATCAAAATCAAATGACAATCTTCTAACAACAAAAACTAATTTAAAAATTAAATAATTTAAACTTCAAAATTTACATTCAAAATTTAATATGAACAAAATTAAACCCGTATTTTCAAGTCGATAACCTGATATGTGGACAATTTACTAAAAACCTAATCCCATCCATCTCTTTCACATTACAATTAAATAAATGATTAAATCATTATTAAAAAAATTTTAAGATTTGGGTTGTTATTAAATAAACCAACCATGATCTACCATACTTATCTCTAGTTGGTTGCAACTTCCAACTCTTTATTTATTTATTTATTTTTTTTCAATTCTAAGACCATATGTTGCTATGACATCCTTTTATAGACAAAATTAATAATATTAAAACTTAATTATTGATATTATCTTTCATGGATATTGATCTTCCTAATTGGTTTTTGCATTGACTTAAACAATATAATATAAATATAAATATATTGGCATATTCTTTAGCGGAATGAAAAGCAAGGTCATTGTTTTTCCAAGCCATTGATGTTGCCATTTTTCTAATTATTGAGACTTAGATATTTTATGTATTATTAATCTGCGAAACACTAACTAGAATAAAGTTAGAATCCTTTGAACAATAAAGTATTTCCACCTTTGATCTAACATTTCAAAGGATTCCCCTATAAAGCATGCTTGTAAATAGTGATTAACCATCTAATCAATGGGATAATCTCTTTTTTGAAGTATGCTTTCCCCATGCCCCAATATTAATTATATTAATTAATTTGAGATTAATTATCAAACCTAATCTTTTCATTGTTGAATCATGATCATGTAATTGTTTAACCACTAATTAATTAAAAATAAATTATAAAAAAAATCGTAATCTAATAATAAAAAAGTTTAAATATTAAAATTTAAATCATATAATATAAATATAACACAAATACACATCAAAACAATTTGATGTACAAAACTTAAGATAATGTAACACAAGTGTCATGCTTATTAATCATATAATTAAGAGGTGATATTAAATAATTTTAAATTTTAATATTTACAATTTAAAAAAAAAAAAACTGTTCCACAACCATCTTTGATTAACCATGGCCAACATTATCAAAGTGATTCTCGAGAGTAAGCTTCCACTGTTGATAGATAGGACCTACTAACTTAGATCATAGAGGGTAGCCTAACCCTAATTATCTTAAACGCTTCTCTTCCAAACGTGTGTCGGTCACGTGTTCTGTCTCCCGTCGAAACTCATGTTGGTACAGCGGAAGCAGGGGCCCACAATGCCAGCTCAACACTAAATGGTCAGGCCACTAAACATTTGTGTTTGGTATTGGCCTTTATAATTAGCCAATTAGGTCTTTCCACGTGTAATTGTTTTTGAGTAGTTCTCCTTCCCCAGTGGCTGCTTGTTCACATTCCTTTTTCTCCGATCTTACCTGGAAACATCAAACTTTGACTCTGAAAAAAATCTCAACCGTTGGATTTAGCAAGTTCCCAAGGTGGATGAAATTCCTCAAAATTGCTAATGCTGTATGCGTACTTTCAAACAGTGTAATTTATTTCCTTAAGGGGAAATGTGTGTCCTTTTTGGATTTTACAAAAAAGGAAAATTAATTTGTTTTAGTACCAAAAAAAAACAAAAAGAAAAATTGATTAGTATATAGCATAAAACCATGTTTTCCTATTATTATTTTTCCAGTTCCTAGAATGTCCTTGCCAATTTCATGTTTATAAAAAAAACGCAAGGGTATTTTAGTCTTTTAGTGTTGATATATCTCACTAGCGGTGGAGCCTCACTTGGAAATATCAAGCATCAGTTACAAAATGATAGAAAAAAAAATCTTAAAATTATTATTTTCTTTTTAAGTAGTATATATATATTTTATAAAAATAACTTTTTGTAAAATAAACTACTGCAAAAATGTAATACACAGATAAGGAAAAATAAAATAATACCAATTAAAATTTTTTATTTATTTAAAATTATCAAAATTGATTTGTGAAATGTTATAATTATGTCATATATTAAGCATGGTTTTGATTGTCGTTTGTAATGTAATTTTCTTTGAAAAAAATCTCTTTTTCAAGATATAAGGCTTAGACAGTTTCTTTTGTTCTTTGTGGAATTGATTTTTTAATGGTTTGGGTTTTGAATTTCGTTGGTCCTGTGAGAGTTTGAACATGTTTTCTACTGAACCGTGACTAGAGTTTATATTTTAGACGAATCTCTCAATTCCAGCCTTGTAATAGTACTAGTGACATAAAAGAAAGAAAAAAAAATTTATAACTTTAATTGATTTGTACAATCATTTTTAAAATATGATATTAAATAAATTTAAAATTTAAATCTCAATATTTATAATATTATACATTTTTCATTTTCAAATTACGATTTTTTTGTAAAAAAAAAAATAATTAATAAAATAAACCTAATAATTTGACTGTAAAGAAAAACCAAAGCACATTGTTTCCAATGTGCACATTCTTTTTTTTTCTGTTAGATGCATTATCAGCGTCGTATGTACACATCTAATGATAGGTAATCTAACAATTTAGGTTGTCATTTTTGTCCTTTTGTCTAACAAAAACAAATCTCTTTCACATGGAATTTACTAATCAAATTTTGTTTTTTGTTTGATGAGTGATGACACAGATCCCTTGGAAGTAAATATTACATTCAAGTATCATCTTAGGAAAATAAAGTTTTTTTTTTTTTTTTTTTTTGAGATCTCTTGTAGTCACTTTGAATCTCAATTAATCAATCGGATCAGACCCATAAAAAGATAAGTTCTCTCAAACTTTTTTTTTTTTATTTATAATATTTAAAATTGAGATCTTACTTAAAAAATCAAACTTCTTGCTACTCGAATCAACAGACGTAGAAGAAAAGTAAAGATTTTTCTTGAAATTAGGCCATCCAAGTGACAAGTAAACTCAAAATATGGAGGTTTGCATTTCATCCACCCTCATTCTCCTTTTTTTTTTCAATATAGGTCTAAATTTACCATTATATATTTAAAATGATGAATCAAATTTACAATGTATATTTGAATAAATCCAATTTTATCATTTTATTTTTTTAGTTTTTTAAAAAAATGATTAAAAGACATAAAGATAAAAAATTTTGAGGAAATAAAAAATATAAAAATTTTAAATTTTAAAATATTTTAAAACCAAATTAAAATACACAAATGATAAAATTACTCCTGAAATAAATTTGATCATTACTTTATTACTTTACATAGAGTAATATAAAAGAAAATTAGCACTCGAGCCCTGCTCTAAATCCTTTCTCTAAATTGTAAATTAACAAAATTATAATATTAAAATTTGAAATTAGGTATCAACAGATTATATAATTTATTGATAAAATATTGAACTTTTAATTTTAATGATAAAAATTAAATTCTCATTGTTTCAAATACTAAAAAAAAAATTAAAATTAGGAATAACACTGTAAATCTTGACTAGCAGATAGAGCACCTTTAGTTGATTTTTGATAGATGGGGTGGGGCTTTGATGATATTTCCATGCATGGAGACATCAATTTTACAGTAATCAGCTGTGCCAAGGAAACTTCGGTTTTAATTTTTGTTTATTTTTTATGAATTTGTTTTCTATTACACAGTAGATGACTTTGGTAAACAGATAGCAACTAACAAAGAGACTTTGAAATTTGAATATAATTTTTTTTATTCTTTACCAAATGCTGTAATTGTCCAAAAAAAAGCAATGTGATCAGATTTACATGCAGGAAATATAACTGATTATATTTACCTTGTCAAAATGAAGAAGAAGAAAATTATAATTACTACAGAAAAGTTAATGAGAGAGAGAGAGAGAGCTGGAAAAAGCTTGAAATTATCCACCTAGTTCCTTATAATCCACGCTTCTTTTTTTCTCCCAAAAAACCAGTATTTAGAGGCTTATGTTCCTGCTTTTCTTCTTAGCACACCACCACCACCATCACCACCTTTCCATTTTTCTCCAGTGGAAGCTTTTCTTTTTATACTTCATCTCCTTTCTCTCTTCCTTTTTGGGCTTTGAATTGCTTTCTGTGTTGTGTTTTCTTTGTCTTCTTCTTATAGTAAGGATTGGTTTTTCTTTGAATTGCTTTCAAGAATTTTAGAGATTTTTTTTTTTGTGGTTTGGGAATGGAAAATATTTGTAGCTATAGGAAGGAAGATGAGCAGATGGAAATGGAATTGCCTCCAGGATTTCGGTTCCACCCTACTGATGAAGAGTTGATAACTCACTATCTTTCGCAGAAAGTTCTCAACAGCAAGTTCAATGCTATAGCCATTGGTGAGGTTGATTTGAACAATTGTGAGCCTTGGGATTTGCCTGGTAATCTGCTAAGTTTTTTTCTTCTGTGTTTAACAAGGAAATTTATAGCTTAGAATTTATTCTAACTTCATGCTTTGTGTTTGTTGAAATGAAGGGAGAGCCAAAATGGGTGAAAAAGAATGGTATTTTTTCTGTGTTAGAGACAGAAAATACCCTACAGGTTTGAGAACAAACAGGGCTACCGAATCCGGTTACTGGAAAGCCACAGGCAAAGATAAAGAGATTTTCAAGGCTAAAACACTTGTTGGATTGAAGAAAACTTTGGTTTTCTACAAAGGGAGAGCACCCAAAGGAGAAAAAACCAACTGGATCATGCATGAATATCGTTTACAAGGGAAATATTCAATTTACAATCTCCCCAAAACAGCCAATGTAAAAATAATTCCTCTGTTTGCTCTGGCTTTTACTCTTTTCATTTGTCATGTTCCTTCAACTTGTTTCCCTCTTGCTGTTGCAGAACGAGTGGGTTATTTGTAGAGTATTCCAAAAGAGTCCTGGTGGAAAAAAGATACATGTTTCAGGATTTACAAGATTGACTTCCTTGCCTCCATTAATGGATTCTTCACCACACAACAGTGAAACAAGAACTGGCGGTGGCGAGACATCTCAAGTGACCTGCTTCTCCAACCCCATGGAGGACCCGAAAACACCAGAAGTTATGATTGATAGCTTTAACACTTCTCTTTTAGCTTCTTCATCTTCGTCCCATATATCCCCTAGTCCTGTTCTTTTGTCTAAAACCTCTCTGCAAAACTCTGCATTCACCAACCAAATCATTCCAAACATTGGAAATTTGCAATACTCAGATTCTTTTTGGTTGCAAGATCAGTCAATATTGAAGAAGATATTGCTGGAAAGTCCTGGAGGGGGCTCGAATCAGAATTCCACAGGAGAGTTCTCCCAGGATTCAGTCGTGTCGAACCCTGAAATGATTCAAGATCCTTCATGTTCTTCAGGACCAGTAGGCCTTGGCTACTACCTCTGGAGTTATTAAATTTGAAGATAGAAAAAACTAATCAGGAGTTCCAATTGAATTAAAAGATCTTCAAGAATATTATTGTCATTAAATTTATGTATGTATTGGTTGCTTGCTTCGTAATTGTAGGAAAATATAAAGAAAATGCATCTGTTGTAAGTAGTTATACTTTGTTAAGGTTTTGATTGCCAATCTTTTTTTTTTTTTCTTTTTAGGATTTCGGCTTCTTGTCAAGTTTCTTTTACATAAGACTATTGTAATTCTAGCCATGTAAATTATAGTATATACGAATCTGGAGATTGATTTATATAATTTTCTTTAAAATGTGACATTCAACAGGTTTAAAATTTAAATCTTAATATTTGTAATTTCTTCTCACATCTTTAGGCTGCGGCATCCTTTATACAAAAAAAATTATAGTATGTAAGCTGGAGTTATTTATTTTGAATATCTTGAAAATTTTGACAGTAGAATGTTTCATGTTTAAAAAAAATATATATATTGAGTTTATGAGCCTGATAACGCAATTATCATCTGTTAATGCTTGCCTTGGTAGATTAGTTAGCAACTCTATCTCTCTTTCGCTCCCAGTATGACATCACATGTTAGGCCACCAACCAAGAGTTCATCAATGATTAACAATAAGTGACAAAGTGCTCTAGAACATAGCGTGTCATTGATAGAATTTTACAACATTTGAACCTTTCTTTAAAACAGATATTTCAATAACCTCATATTATTTGATTAATTGTAGTTAGCTATTTAAGCTCAATCAAATGAGTTAAAATCTTTCCCTAGTTAGCCCCAACATAAAAAAGATCCCAAGTCCTCATAAAATTCATGTATGCAATCTCAATCCTCATGAACTTGCAGAATTAAAGCTAAAAAAGATCAATGGCATATTTTCTTGTGGTTTGAGCTAATGTATGGCTTAGGGGGCTTAACCAGGGTTGCCTACCTGCAAAATTTGATGTTGTTATGGACATTTAAAACAGTACACTTTTTGTCTGAAAATATCAGAAATCTGTTAAACTTACTTTTTGTCTGAGACAAGAAGATATCCTAGACTGATATAGTTGAAAACCTTCCGATTTAGAAGTTTGGATGGATTAGCACTAATCAGCAGGATACCATAAAGGCAATTCCAAATCACTGCTTTGTACCTTAGTTAGGTATTGAGTGTACCTAAAAATGTCAAAGAAAGAGACATAACCAAAGTCAGAAAGGGTTTAAATTGGAGCAATTCTACTAAGACAGAACTTGCCAAAGCTACATCTTCATTATTCTGCAGTACTGGACTAGGGTCCAGGCTCTAAATGTCTGTAGGATTGCACTTGATTGCTCATTGTTTAATCCTGGCTTAGCTTTGCTTGCTCTTTAGCTGCAAAGGCAGCGTGATTTTAGACTCAGTTTAACTGATAACTCCTCTTAAAAATTAAAAAAAAAAAAGGAAAAGAAAGAGGGGGTGGGAGGAGGGGGAGGGGTGATTGAACTTCGGAAAGTGAAAGCTCTCAGCTCCAACAAAATGAATAAATATGAGTAGAATGTTAAACAGTGAATTTCTCTTTAAAAAAGTCTTAAGTGCAGGCAATCTGAATCTGTCATGTCATTTATCTTGCATGCAACTCACTTTATTGTAACCAATTCCCCCTGAAATGTTATTGTCATTCCTTCATTTTTTTTCAATAGTTTTTCATGGACATTCTATGATACTTCCAAGACAGCCTATAGTAAGTGATGGCTATTATGAGAAGAAACAATAAAAAAAAGAATAGCAAATACCATTCACTAGAAATTTCATCAAACCTATTTTTTTGCCTCTTCCAAATTATATTTTAACCACCACTTTCTTTAATCTTCTTTATTACCCTTTTTTTTTTCACACTATATATTTCTTTAACAAAATAAATATGATATTTGATATGCACTTTATATATATGGTTTTATAAAAAATATCATAGGTTAAATTTAAAAGAAAGAGTTTTAAATATTAAAATTTGAATTTATATTTATTAAAAGTAATTATATAAATTATATAAATTAAATTTTAAATTCCCCTTTATATTCTCTTTGTTTATTATTTAACCTAGCTAGTTGTTGGAAAGAATTTTTTAACAACACCTAACCTAATAAAAACAATCTCTTTGTCTGATGCCTCAATAAGTAAAAATGTCACGTGAAAAATTCAAATAATATTCTTAAAATATTACATAAAGTTTATCTCAATTAACCCACATGATTAAATCTCTTAATTCCTATAGTTTAAGCTTTGCACGTAATGTTTCTTGCCATGTGATGGAAATTAAACAAAGATTTTTAATTTTTAATTTTTTTTACTAAGTAATTAAGTGCATACTAACTTTTCAATCTTTGTCTTTTAGTTCAAGGAATAGAAAAAAAATTTAGCATTTAAGTTTCATTGGTTAATGCTTTTAGGGGGTAATCGTGTTGCTTGTGTATTTTTTTTATAAAGCATATCATAATTTTAAAAAAAAATTGTAAATAATAGAATTAAAATTTTAAATTTATTAAATGTTAATTTTTTAGGATTATCTCAACGTTTTTATTCAATTATTTCAATTCAAACATTTAATTTTCAAATTCTATAAATTAGGTCAAAATGTAGATATTAATTCCAATACATTAAAGATAATTGACATGACATCTCGAATTTTTTAAATTTAAATTTAATCGTGTTCGAGTTAAGTTATATAATTATATTTTAATTTATTAATTGATTATTTAATAATTATATTTTAATTATAATATAATAATTGATTATTCACTTGATTGTATAATTATAATACTTTATTATAATTATAATTTTAAAAAATCATGAAATATCCATTTTGTTTTCCTTTTTCTTTTTTGGTATGGTTATTAAGGATAGTTACGTTCACTGACTAACTAAACAGTGCAAGCCTAAGCAAAAAACCAAAATTTGATGTAGTTCAAAGACTCCAAATTTGTGGGGTAGGGAAAAATAGTTAGGCAAAGTACGAAGGTTGAAGAAGAAGGAGAACCACTCTAAATGGCTGAAACTTCCACCTGGGTCTTCACTTTTCTACTTGTTGGCATTAGAGTTGGCATTAGGTTGGGTATGGGGCAGGTTTTGCTCGCCCTTAATTTGATTTGATTTTATGTGTTATTAAATTTGAATTCGATTTTATTTGAAATTTTTTTTGTTTTTTTACATTCGAACTCGATCTCATCTGATAATATAAATCGTACTTCGAACCGATCCGAATTAATAAAATATTATTTTTTAAATATAAATATTTAAAAATATTATTATATAAATATATATTTATAAATAAAAAATTAAATAATTAATTAAAAAATAAATTTTTATATAATATCGGGTTGAATTTATCTAAAATCTGAACCCGATCCGATCTCGATTGTTTTATAATTTTATCCCGATCGACTTGATACTAAACTCGAATTTCAAAAAAAAATCGACTTCATAAAATCGAATCGAATCAAAATCCGTTGAGAATGAGTTAAATTATCGACTCTGGTAGGCATTGTTGACACCATGTTTCCCACCATTTTTTTTCCATCGTCATTTTCATTGGCTTTAGCTCATTGCGTCATGGTTTTTGTACCATAATGGCTGTTTACCACATCACTGTTATAATTTTATTATTATTTAATTAAAATTTTTTGAATTAAAATTTTATGCTAATTAATTAATATTTTTAATCTTAATGATATTTAAGAAAATAAAAAAAATACAGTTTGCACCTTTCAAAATGTAAGGAACCAAATGCTTCTTAATAAAAAAATTTCTTAACAATTACTATAATTTATCAGTGAATCACATGATTGAGCGCTCATCAACTAATTGCTATCTTTTTCGTTTTTTTAATGATTACCATAGCGTATATCTTTAATCAAAATAATTGAGTAGCATTTTGTTTTTAAGGAAGAGTGATTACTTTTCCTTAATCCTTTCTCTAACAAGCAAAGACAAAGAACTCTTTAAATTATAATGGACACAATTTTTTATATAATCGAAGTTATAACGAATTGTAAGTGTTAAAATTTAAATATTAGATTTATTAAATGTCATATATTAAGAGTGATTGTATGAATTAATCGAGTTAAGTTTTAATTTTATAAACCTAACAATTTTAAATATAATATAATAATATGATATGAAAACGATACAAAAAAAATACAAAAGTAACATTTAAAATTTTAGTAAAATTATATATAAATTTGATAAAAATTTAAAAAATTAATGTATTTTTTATTTGGCATGTTTATATGAATTTAACACTATAATTTTTCATGTTTTACATATTTTTTACATAATACAAATACTATCATGTCAACCTCCAACATTTTCAAGACATTCAAGGTTAGTAAAGGTTTTTCCATAAATTATAATAATGTTAAGAAAGAATGAAAATTGAATGGATTATGATGAAGTACTGTATAGAAACCTATGGATAAGGGTTGCATATGGTCAAGCTTATCTTTGCTTCTGTCATCATGTTTATATATGGTCAAATCCCTTTTTACCCAAAGTTTCTCATATTACATTATTAGTAATCTTCAATTAGTGCTAGTACTAAATTATTTGGAAACATATTTTTCATGTTTGCAAGTTAATCATGGAATGAAAAACTTTGGAGGTTTATCTTTGTTAGATTTTCATGCAAAATGCATCGAATCTCTTTATCTTTTTGCTATATATCTCCTTAATTAGCTTGTTCGTGTATTGCACGAATTATCTTTATTTCTTTAAATATGTTTAGATGTATAAAATAATATTATTTAATCACTTAGATGTTCAATATATATGTAAATTACAAATAATATAATTAAAATATCAAAACATAATAAGATTAAAATTTTTAATTAAAAATTAAAAATATATAATAATATTTGAGGAAAATAAAATATCTAAAAGCAAATAATATTATTGAGTATACTAATAAAATATTAAATTGAAAATTAAAAGTTTCTTCACTTCAAATTAATTTTTTCAATTTATACCATTTTTATCTTGCGCAACCATTTTTATATACTTACAAGCTTATATAATTTTAAGATAAATTTTATTTATTAAAAAAATAATTATTTTAAATGTTTAAATAATATGGTGATAGCTTACTCGCATTTATATTTTTTGGATAAATTTTAATAATATCTTGATTTTTAATATCTATAAAATTTGTCAAATTAATTTTAATACTTGTTTTAAAATTTATATTTGATGTAAAATTGTGTTACTGTAAAATTTGAAATAAAATAGTTTTAAATTTTAAATAATAATATTAAATTTTAAATAATTAT